CGGACGCCGAACGACGGCGGACAATCACTCATATGATAAGCTCCGCTCGACAAAGTCGACAGCGGAGCTAATAAACTGAGAACACAGAGGTTACAATAAAATATTCAGTCAGGAAAAATACTCTCAGGAAGCCAGTAAATCATTATTAGATTTGAAGGCAACATTGCATACAACACAGCTGTAATTGTTGTCAACCAATTAGCTGACCATATCGCTGATTAGGTGTACAAAACAAATTCCCTGTCAAAGTAATATCATGTCAGCAAAGTACATGTAAAATGTTTTTTGTATAAGACAGCACTTCCAGACTGAACTTGAAGGCAATGAGCACAGGCAATTAATTAATCTTCATTGTTCTGTCCAAAATTCCGTACTCTATTTCATCTGGAAATATTGAATTTGACTTCTTACCTTTGTAGTTTTATCATTCCTAGTCGTGTTGTATTTTGTTTGTCTTAGTTTTAATTCTTGAGACTATTGCTGTACCTTTCTGTGTCAGTGTTGTGTCAATAAAATATTATTATTATCATAAAAATAATTTTTTTTGCTTTGTTTTGTGTTTTTGTTTTTTTGTTTTTTCTCAAATTTTTTATTTTTCTTTTATTTTCTATTTTTAACTTACAACATTTAACTTTACTGTATCACGAACAATATCTCAATTAAGGATATGGTTATCAATAAAGATTATTATAAATTCCAGAGACTGATGATCAATGTATATTACAGTGAATCAAATACGCACAACCAATGAAACCATATTCTGAATGGTGACGAATTTACTCGGCCAGAGGTAGAACTCTTAGGTCGGTGAATGGGTGGGTTGGGTGTTATTGTGTCAACGAGTGTTGTTGATTTCAACGTCACAGCAGAGCTGTAACATTTCCTAACAAATCATTTTATCTGCAGTCAATGTCACCAGGCAGCCCCGAGTCATACTACGGTAAATTGAATTACTGTACAATACACGGACAGCGGATGTTGTTTACACATGAAACAGACATTAAAGAAAGTGATAATTATTGACTCATCATTCTTCGACAACTTCACATCACGGCGATTACATCTGGCCAACTTTGACTGTTACGACCTGGCCGAGTTTGACTGTATAATATGAGCATCGGCAAGGGGTATTTTCGTAAGCTGTAATCAACTGTTTTTATTTTCGTAATAATTTAATTTAAATAAATAAAAAACGTAAATTCGTAAACATGGGCAAGGTGTAAAACGTATTCAGCTAAGTTTATTCGTCCGGAATTTGTAAAAAGATCTTATTTTTTTGTAAACGTATAAAGCATTTTCCATATTAAATGTAAAATGTAATTAGGAATTTGCTTTATCTGTAAAGTGTAAAAACCTATTTTTTTGTTACTGTAAATGGAACTTTCATTTTATTTCCTGTAAAAACGTAAAATGTCGTTTATTTCCTGTAACCTGTACCAGCTACCCCCCGGGCCCCATATGGATAGAGGGACTAATGCACACGGGCGGCCTTTCACGTTTCTACGTATTTTTTTGTGTCTGGAAGCAAAAACATTCATATTTACACTGATTATTTTAATATTAACCTGAAACGTAAACGCCGCCTGGGACTCGATCACAGTCACTTGGGGATGAAAATTAATAAATATTAATATTAAATTAAATATTAATATTTTTAAATATTCTGCTATATGTATATAAATAAATTATTTATATACGTATAGCGGAAGATTTGTTTGAAAAAAATAGTATCAGAGGTACAATACTTGGGGTTTGCAACGCGCATACTACTGTACGGTGACATCATGTCAAGATCCCATTCAAGTCTCATCTCGTGGATAGCGAGACTGATGCTACGACCTTCTGACATGACATAGGCGGCTTGTAATAAAACAATAAAACATGTATTACCACATTCATAGTGAAGAAATATAATACATCGAAAATGTACAGAAAATATAGTTATCGTAATCCGTCATATCGTAAGCAGCTACATTTGTATTTTGATCCACCTGAACATCCCAGTGTCCGAGTTACCTCGGGCATGCGCATTCTCCTTTTTCTGAGCTGGAACGCTTATGCGAGAGCGAGATTGAAACGGAATCTTGGTATCATGTCACCGTAAATGCAAACCCCAAGTAATGTACCTTTGTTAGTATTTATTAATTTTCAGCCCCAAGTGACTGTGGACTCGATCGAGTCGTCTTGGTACAACGTTTTCATTCACAACAATCGCGTTATACTTACTTTGTACTCAACGTGTTTAACGATCCTGTCACCACCATCAAGACGGCAAGACCTATCTGATATCGGGTCCAAGCCATGGTTATTACTCAAATATTGCCAAGAAAAAAAATCTGAAATGCGGGTAGGTGACTAGCTTCCTGGACCTGACCACTGTGATGAAGGTAGGGTCGACACCATGTACTGTTAATTACATCTTCTGATGATCAACAAGCCATTTTATTAAAATTAATAACATTAAACATATATCTAGACCGAAATTCTCGAAGAAATGCATAAATAAAAGACCAATCTATTCATGAAAAAAACAATACATGGCTATGCAAAATATTCTAAGTGATTAAAATCAGCAAATCCTTCGGAAGCGGCTCGTTGGTCTAGGGGCATGATTCTCGCTTAGGGTGCGAGAGGTCCCGGGTTCAATTCCCGGACGAGCCCACTTTTTGTTCTTTCGCATGAACATTCTTGGCTTTACTGCAAAATGGTCTAAAACTGATTCTCTGTGTCTTTTGTTTTTCGAAATACTTTCTTCGTGGCATGATTAATTTTTTATAGAAAAAAAATCGAACTTTAAATAACATTTAACTGAAATCAAGTTATAGGCAACATAGATTGTTTGTTTCGTTTAGACTCCCAATTTAGTAACTCAAATTTAAATTATTAGTTAACCAAATTAGTGGCCTTTCTCTTATATTCATGTGCATTTGTTATTTTGGTATGCACATGCATATTTCATTTTTTTTCCATCAAATGAATACTATTGTTTATGCCACAAAAAGAAAACAAATACAATAAATCATAATTTAGTTTGGTCATCAACAATATTAAAAAATAGGTTTTCATTCATTCCATATTTCACATTCAAACAGAAAACAGTGAGTTATTTGTAAATCAACATTTTATTAGATGCATATAGGATTTAAAAATACTATTAGGTGTATGTTATAAAAATGTTTTTTTTTTTATTGAATATTTTGCAGTAGATGGGTTTTGAGTTATTTTGTAACTATGTTACTAAGTATGCATCTATCCTGCCATTTTTACAATAGTTTTTGTTGTTAATATCAAACGTAGATGACCATTTCATGTACATACATACCTATGTTTTTGTAAATGCATTAATTATTTGCTGATTTTTTATTTTGTAATTTCATTGGTACTGTAAAATACTTTATTTTAGCTGGAATTAGTTTTCGCTGAAAAGACTTTTTGGGTTTTTGTTTGGAATTTATTTTCACTGATTTTTGACAAGTTGAATGTAAAATATAAGAGAAAAGGGTAAATTTGCTGGGTTTTATTTTCACTGAAACATTCCTTAGCGAAAATAAAGCATTTTACAGTATTAAAATTCTCTAAATAAAACCATATGAACATGTAGGATAAAAATATAACTCATTGTTTCTCTGTTTAAATACCAGTGAAAATAAATGGTTTTACAGTATTGGTATTGCTTCATAAGCATGCATCCACAAATTACAATTCCAATCTTTCAAAAATATTTCAGAAACTTTCATAGGCAGCCTAAGTTTTTGTTAAAATGCTGTCTTTTCTGGGAAAAAACGTTATTTTTTTTGATAAAAATTTAGTCATTTCCACCAAATTTAGCCCAAACAAAATCTATTTTTTTGTTGGTTTCCAGAGAAAGATGAACATGTCAGGAATTTTGGGTGGCAAGTCATGTATACCTTTTCTATGCAAATTGTGAAATTTCAAACTTTTTGAAAAACAAAAAATAAAAAATTGAAGAATGAACCATTTATTGATGGGGGGGGGGGGGTATTTTGACAAGTACAGAAGCAAACATAGTACAGTGAATATTAAAGTGGAGTTTAATTTATTTACACATTATTCTCATTGCGATGACAATGAAAAATTCACATATGGAATTGTAGACAATAGATTGCTCAGTACTACAGGGCTAAAAGGTGCACAAGGACAACCTTACACCCCCATCATCAGGCAGGTGGAAAAACCCAAAGTTTCTACTGAATATGGAGTGTAACACGAATAATTTTTTATTCAAAGAACGTTTAGGAACATAAAACATCAGGATTTGAAAGACAAAAGGAAATAAAAAATTGTTTCGTTCTGAGATATCACTAAAATTAGTACAGTGACAACTTTGTTGGGGGTTATTTTTCTTTTTTTGTTTTCCAATAATTTGGTAGAAATCAGAACAGGTCATTTCAAACCTAAACACATTTAATACACTCCATGTATAATTCACAACAGATTATATTATATTACACAGATTTCAGCAATGCCTACAGAAAAAAAAAATAGAAATACATATTCAGGCTTTTGTTAAATGACAGATTTACAAAAAAAAAAATACAAATTTTGAAAGGTCTACCTACATAGTGTGCTTGCCAACAAAATTACCAGTACGTGAGCAAACTTGACTAACCTAAGTAAAATTTTTACATTACTTTTTTTAACATACAAGTAAAAAGTTCAAATGAAAAGTGGAAATGAATTATTCCACGATATTTAATGTTTAAATAAATTTGTACTTTGATCTGCAAAGGGAGCAATTTCAACAAATTTTCACTTTGAAATTGGTTCAAATGCTACCGATATAATCAGAGATTACTTGTCACCATTTTACTAATTTTCTAAATCAGTCCAACATCCTCAGGGGTGGGGGGTGGTTGCATGTGTGCAGACAGCACAGCCATATTGGTTAACATGAGGAAATAACATGGTTATTTACATTTGTAAGGGTATTAGAGACAGATATATTTGTTTTATCAGTATAGCAAATGGTACATTAAATGATGTCAAACATCCAGTACTGTAAAATACTATACTATATATATATTATATACTATACATATAGATACATGTTTATTTTAGAGGTCAATGATTTCTAGGATAATCATTTGGTGCATGGAGTAAGAACAATTTGACACTACCGGTATATAAGAAAATGACAGATTACATGTCTTTATGTTGTCCCTTACAAGAGGTAATGCACACAAGTGAAATGCACCCTGGGAGTACCATCATGCATGTGGTGGGCTTTACCATAATCTCAGAGTTAACCCTGTTCACCACCAGTCAACTGTACTGTATTATATTCAGTTTAATATTATTCAAAATCGATTTTTAGGGAATATTACAGGGGGGGGGGGACTGGCTAGTAATAGTCACACAATAATATGAACCTAAAAAAGTTCACACATACAATAGTACCATACAATATATCAGTAATATCTATAAAATCAGTTACCGTGTTTCGGTGGAGCACAAGAAGTATTGAAAGGGACAATAACATGCTTAGATTGGTAATGTTTTATTGGTACATGTATAATAATGAGAATCTATTTTCTGAATAAGAGTTCTTAGTACATTTGATCACAAAAAATTTGCCCATCAGCAGCACATTAAAGTAAAATATACTTATTTCTGATTAATTTGGGATGTATAGCTGCCAAAGCAGACTCTCAAACCATGTGAAACATGGCAAGTAAATTTAATCAATCAAAGTGTTATACAAAAGTAATATTTCCTTTGAAAAAAAAAAAAGACGCATTATGTCTTGAAAGTGATTATTAACACATTGGCAAGCATACATGTACATGTACAAAGCATATCCTCTCAATAACAAAGAGTAAATTATGTCGCTGCCAGTGAGCTATAATACAAAGATAGTGCTCTTCTGAATTCAAAAATCAAGCAAAGGTCTCGTCCCTTGACGTACCAAACACACCTTCTTAAGGCAAGCTGCTCAAAGCATTCAACAAGTGAAAAAGAGTAATGTTACACTCGACTAGCCAGTACCGTAAATCAATTTTATCAGACATACACGCATGATTGCACATGCTGAAGACATTAGAAAGAGACACACCTTTCAAATACCAGATATCAATGTGTGGTTACGACATGAATAGTATAAAATATGAGCTTGGGAGTCAAATCAGTTACAGCTAGGAATGAAAATAGCTCAAGGAAGTAATTTAAAACGACTCCCAGAATACTTTGAGGTTTTCAACTATAATTCACTGAAAAATACTCACTGGAGAAAAACATTTCAATTTTCAAAAACTAAAATTAAAAATTAATAATTATAAATTTGTAAGTGTACATTACTATTATTGCATTTGATGTTAATATGATTTTTAACAGAAATACAATATTACATACAACTTTCACGATTATGTCATTGACAAAAGTGACTACAGAATGTTTTATTAGTTCATATTTTAAATGTTTCATGGTAATTGTATGTTCTGTGATGAGAAATACTAACATTGAAGAATCATGGTATATTTGACCCATTGCCAATTCAACTTTCCACAATCATGTTTTAGAATATGGTTGCTAGTTCAACATTGTGCATTAGTTTTCATACTGATCCAAGTTGTTGAAAGAATGGCACTCAAAGGGGTAAAAATCTCTCAAGAAATTTTGCAGACAGTGAGCAGGTGGGAAAATAAATGTGCAGGCTGTCTGCAGTAAAATAGAAGGAAATCATGAAGGAGGAAAAGATTTACTTCATTTCATTTGATATAAGCGCACACATGATTTCAAGCATTTTAATTTTACTTGAATGACACTTTTTGAAGAATTTTTTCTCACCAAAATGTTGGTGTAATATTTTCCCTCTTTAAAACTTCTATTCTATTTTGGAAAGAATGTGATACTGTTGATTGTTTTTGATCAACTCATTCGGTGTATGGAGAAAGTGACACAGCTTTTTTAAGGTTGAAAAGGTGTCTGTAACTGACATTGGCTTTCAAAGTGAGAACATTTTTTTTCGTAAATTTCATGCATTTGGGGAAATGCTCTATGATGTCATACATTTTTTTCCGTAAATTTCATGCATTTGGGGAAATGCTCTATGATGTCATACATAGCTTAGCCAATCACATTATGAATCAAGTGTTTGATTTAAAATAAATAAAATATGCTAAAAGTCGTACATGTATGTGAAGATATGAACCGTATTGCCTGAAAAAGCACTGTCGTACTTGGGGGTTTTGGTACAGCGACCGTCAATGTGTCTGATGGCTTTCTGCACGTCACATCGACGGTATGGCGATCCTGTGCCAATATAATTGTAGTCACAGCACCATTTTGGACCACCTTTCATCATCAACGTATCAAACTTTTGTTGATTTTTCATACAATCGGTTCAAAATCTGTGGCTTTTCTTATCAATTTTGCTCTGCACCTGCAAGCAATGACAAATTGGGTCAGTTTGGTCCAAAATTAACAATGACCATGATTCGATTTTTGTCAGGAAATGTGTTTTATACTGAAATGGTCGATCGGTGTAGCATGTTGGAAAGGAAACATTTACCAGTTTGCCCAAGGTTGGCAGGTCAGTTTATGGAAATGTTTCAACAGAAAATCAAGAGAATATTTCAAACCAAATAAACAAAATTTGACATAGCTCACAATTTTCATTGAAAATTCAGATTTGAGAAATTCAAAAATGTGAAATAATTGATTAGGATTATTTTTCGTGGTAGACCAGGTAGAAATCAAAACACTAACAATAAAAGCCACTCCTTACCAACGATTTCCCCAGAATTATCATGTATATTTGGACCCAAATGACATAAATTGACATTGCCGTTCAGTTTCACTAAAAACTTCAAAACATTAAACTAAGAAGCTGATTACAGTACAGTTGAAAAATGGTGGTGAAAGGGTTCCTCTCACAGTTTGAGATTTTGTATCCATACATAAACAAGAATAGATAATAGGACATCGTTATGTAAATTAGCAACATCATTTCCCTCTTCATAATGATGTTCGTCAAATGATTGAAACATGCATTACGAACTTATCGAGCGAGAATTAGGTGGTTCTAACTTTTGACGACTGAGCCACTGTCCTCTTTGCCTTTATATTTCGTCTTCCCATGTGAAAAAGGTACGTATCTGTATTTTGATCATGTGCTACAACAAAAAACAAACAAACATTATTACAATCCCATGTTTACACCAAAATATAGTTTTATGTTATTTATTCGGCCAGTATTTATCAGACTGATGCATGTTACCCACTTATACCATCATTTCCTGTCAACAGACTCAGGGCCCTTTCACAGAGTCGTAAATGAGAGACAACGCAACGCAAACATATTCGTGCATTGAGAGGAATACTTCAGTTGTACTGCAGTGTAACTCGTTGGGGTAAAAGATTATAGAAGTAAAGTCAAGATTTGACAAGTTTATATCACCAATAGAAATGTCAGAATTGCCATTTATGCACCATCAAAATAAATAAACCAAATTTTAGGCAATACTAACAAAATTAGCAAAAAATACACAATAACAATTCCCTTGTACACCTACGTGTACAATCAGTGCTGTAAAATCTGTATCAGAAGCTGCGACTTCTATGATATAATGCATCAGAATGGATGCGACTTTTATTAGAGTATCTAGACACATGACAAATGGTGATTATTTGGTTCTCAATTGTTCAAAAAGAATAAATGAAGCTTCTATAATCAGGTATGCAGCTTTTACGGTAAGTGCAAACATTTATATTATCTAATTTTCCTAATTTTGAGACTCAATATTTCGTACATTTATAAAGCTGTTATTTGATGATATTTCAATCAAATTCACCCACACGTGTACAATACTCAATGAGCAGATTATCGACTCACCTTGATTTGCCTCTTCATTGTTATACAAAATAGTGTTATGAAATAAACTACCAAAATTGGCCAAAATACTGGAACATTAAATAATTCAAAGAATGTACAACCAAACGCTACAACAATTGCTTTTGTGGCAGAATACCTAGAGGTGAGAAAACAAAATTAAAGAATATTACAACAGACTCTTACTTTTCCTGGTTGCAAAACATTACTTAACCAGAAAACATTTATTTGATGCACTCTATTTAGATCATTTTGACAGAATTACATTGGTAATCGGATTCATGCTTGTATCATGCTGAACATTAAACAGAAGAGAGTGCCAAGACGGCTACATGTCACTGTAGTCAAAAGCTGACCTAATTTTTTATGTTTGGTAACATTTCTGTGGGCATTTATCATATGAGCTGAACTTTTACTTCATATCTTATTTTTTATAAAATACAACGACAACAACGACGACAACAACGCCGGACACAAATTTTCCCTTAATATACCTTTCCCTTCCATCTTTGATGGTACGGGCAAGGTAATGATATACTAAACAATGAATAATACATATTCGGAAAAATATGTATTGGATTGAGGAGTAAAATAATTCCAATTGCAGAAAGTGATTTAACCTTTTCACTACCAGTTCCCTCTATCTCAAATACACAACATGGTCCTTTTTATAATCTGCACTTTCCTTCAGAAGATTTGGACAAAATAGCCAAATCTTTTGAGTAAAATCTAAAAAATTACTTAAATTTTGCCAACAGGCTCTAAAATTAGGGTTCATTTCCAGAAATATTTATGAATATAAAAAAAAATGTCAAGAAAAATTAAGGAGAGAAAGTTTGGTGGTGAAAAGTTCAAGAAGCCTCTAGCACAACACCAATAGCAGTAATCAGTCAAGGCTTGGACAATGCTGTCTTTACTTACCAAAATTTAAATTCTGGTAATCTTCTAATGAAAGGTCTGAACTCTTCATTTATTTTTGTAGGTAGTGATGGCCCATCGTCTGAAAGAGGAAAACATACAGAGATTATGTTAGTGTCACAAATACAGTAAAATATTCAATTTTAGCTGGAATTAATTTTCGCTGAAAAGAGTATTTGGGTTTATTCTGTGGAGTTTATTTCCACTGGTTTATGATGAGTTGAATGTAAAATATGGGAAAAATTGTTCAAGTTATGTACATCGAGTTACGAAAACATCAAGTTACAAAAACGACCATGCCAATATTTTAGAAACCACAACAACTTTTGAGAATCCACGCCCTAATTGTAACTCGATGTTCAATTAACAGTTAACCAAACTTACGAGTTACGAGAAACATAAAATGCTGGATTTTATTTTCACTGAATCACCCCTTCAGCGAAAATAGCGAAAATAAATTCAAAGCGAAAATAAAGAATTTTACATTAACAGAACCTAAACGGTTAAAGTGACATTATCCAAAAGGCAATGTCTGCTAGTAGAACATCTGGATTTTGTAACACTCAATGTGGTCAGTGTACAGTGCGATGCAGCCATGGCACTGTCGTCAGAACTGCACATGTTTGCATTCTACCGTTTTGCCTGTTGGTATGCAATTCAGCATTTATTCAAATGCAGTAAACGTACAAATTATGGCATGGTAACATTTCCCATTACGAATTCCCCTCAAAATAGTAGACAGGACTCACTGTGAACGACAAAAGTATGATAATTTGGACAAAATGTATCTATAGATGGTTTTGGGGTGGTGGCTTTTAAGTCACACATCTGGGATTGAAGTCCTCCCCGAGATCAAATATCTCAGTCTGCATCCTTGACATTATATAACCGTTCAGACTATATTTCTCTGGAGAGTCAGGTCAGGTTTTATCCTATACATCACACTATGTAATAGTCTCAAAAAGCTTCATAAATGTCCTCAGAGAGCAGCAATGGGGTGGTGGTCGATGCGCCACACATGTGCGACATTTGTGTTGATAAACATTGATTTTCCCACAATGGAATGCACTCTAATGAAATCACGAGTACGAGTTTTGAACTGGGACGACTTTCACTAATTACTGCCACTGTCGACACGTTCCAATCACCAAAAAAAAACAAATAACTAGGTAATTAAAGCTCTCAGTTTGTCCTTGTTGGTCTGCACAACAAATAAAGTTACCATCTTTGTTTATACCAGACCCATATCTCGCTCGCACATACGTGGCGCAACGACCATTGCCCTTAATTCTGTGACAAGATTGCTTATACGAAACTTTGGCGGTTTTCATGATGTATTTTTATCTTACCTGGATCGTCCATCATTGCTGGATCAATCTTGGGTGAAAGAAAGGCTATAAATAAATTTAGATGATATATTCCCAATGCATATGTGACTATGTACCAACCCTGTCAAATTTAAAGAAATTTATTGAGTTAGAAAAGTTACATTTAAATTTTGTACATGTAGTGTTATGCATGAGGGCTTTTCAATGGGTGATCCACCAAGTAACCTTACACAGATTCACAAGTGTGACTTACAAATGACAAAGAACTTTGGTACATGTATATGCAAATAAGTCGTGTCACATTTTAGTTGTGTTGGGCTTACAGCATATTACAACACTAATAGCGATACTAGAAATTAATTCATTCTATTTGGCGAAAAATAACAGATACAATTTATATTTCTCAGTACACAAATCAGGTGGTGTTCATAGAGGGAAACTGTCCATAAGGCAACTGCTAAATTTTCAATTCCAGAATTGTTCAATGACAATCAGAGACTAAATTTCACGAAAGTCGCTTCCCTGTCAGTGACATTCAAGAAATTTGCCCTGGAAATTATCAGATGCCATACGTTGTATTTAATTTTTCTCCTGTCTGAATATAGTGAGCTTGAAAAACAATTTAATATTGTTATAGAGTTTGTAATTTGGTAAAATGAAATTCACATTTTATAGACAAAATAAGAATAAAAATGAGGAAAACCAGGGGCCACAACATTTTTGTTTATGGCGAAGTTACCTATGCAGTCACATACAAATACAAGTTATATAGAAGATAATATTTGGTAATCATAGTCCTAAATAACTATTAAAAATAGCTAACTTTACATTGGTTCTACAGTTCGTCGACTGGATGATCGGTTTGCTGAGCATCTACGGCAAACTAGACAGAAAAATCGTTATTATCCGGTTTCACTTCATTTTAATTCTAGTGGACATAATATTACAGATATGTCTATTTCTGGTGTATGTGTTGTCAATGGCAACGAAAATCAGCTCAGGCGTGTCGAGGAGGAAACTATATTCCGCCTTGGAACTAAAGAACCCCATGGTATTAAACAGTTCAACTCATTTGTTGAGCTCACTACCTAAGGCGCGTTATTTGTTCTATTGTGGAATTTTTTGTGATTTTAACTTATAGTTCATGCGCGTTCTTACGTTCCTATGTTCTACCTGTACGTTATAACACTTTCTTCTATGCTATCGATAAAGAGCCATTGCTCGAAACGTCTTTTTTTTTATCTATTTTTAATAGTTATTTAGGACTACGATTACCAAATATTATCTTCTATATATCATATTTATCAGTCCGAGCAGCGTTTATTTATTTATAAACTACTATTACAAGTACAAGTTAATTTTGTTCTCTTGAAGACAGACCTCCCAAGCAGTCAACAAGCTGACACCACTTGAATTTTGTGATTCCATTTTGAAACCTACAAAATTAGCCATGTTAGAGGGCGCACTTTTCGGCACTGAGCAATGTTGGAAAACAAGGACAAATTTTCAAGAATCTATACATATCAGAAAATTCCTTTGACTTCAAAAGCATTAGCAAATGAAATTAAACAAAGAAGCTTTTATTTCATTAGACAAAAACTCTCAGGAAGTCAGTGGAAATCGTGAACTTTGTAATAGTGAAAATTTCTCTGGTAAAGAGCCCCTCACCCGTAACTGAACTGAAAATCTTTGAGATATATATTGACAATTCATGCATGTATGCATTAATGTCAACACATTAAAGTGGCCAGATTGTCACCTGTGCACACGCGAGAATTAAGTCCCAAGCGTCGACAACAATGCACGCTAAAAACACAAAGGCTCATGGGTAGACACTTGTTTGTAAACAACAACACGCTATGGCAGACTGCTGCATACGTAAGTGATGACCAACTTATTATCTCACAACATAACTTCAACATACCAGTACAACCAAGGACGGAATAGCATTTACATTGCATTGTAAGCAGCAAGTCTAGAGATATTAATATTAGTTAATATTCACCACACGTCTCATTTCAGTTGCACTTTCTAATTTCATAGGATTCATAATTAGTACAATGCAAAACCACAATGCAGTCCCCTTATTGCTATACATAACAAGCAATCTTACAGTCAGTGTGTGTGCATGAAAAACCATAAATATCCTAATTTAGAAATCATTCTCCAAACATTTAAATTTTTCCTGGTGCCTGTACATTATTATAATCACAGTTGAATAACTATCACTAATCTCAAAAACATGGATTACAATACCGCGATCATTTGCTACTAAGCAATGCATTTGTGAAATTTCTTCCTGACTATACTTTTTATTACTAACAAAATTGGTATTTGTTGTTATCATCATTTTGTTTGACTGTAAACTTTCAATTGTTCATGATGTCTTTTTCAGAATCAAATTAAAGCGAGGGAGTCGTCACCTGCGCATGCATCAGATAGCCATAGCGTGTCATTGTTTACAAACCAGCGTCTACCCATAAGCCTTTGCGCGTATTTAGCGTGTGTTATCGTCGCTTGGGATTCAATTCCCGCGCATGCACAGGTGACGACCCTCCCACTTTAAAGCTTTTAACTTTTGTCTGATGTCTAAATAGATGATTTTCACTTTGAGATCTTTATATTGTGTGAAAGGTGCGGACCAATCATCTGCCACATTTGATTTTTAACTTTAAAATATATAAGGAAATATGGTGATACTTCAAAACTGACACTCATCAAATGCGTATAAGCCCATTATTAAGCATGGAAATACCAAAAATATATTTTCAAAATTGTTTAATTCAATGAGATGTTTGGCCATTACTGCGACGCTATGATCTTGGTTTGTCTTGTTTTAAGTTTGATTTCGAGTGCAATCTCACAATGAGCAGAAGATGATGATGAAAATGATGCTAAAATTAGAATATTTACTGTAGTCAGGTTTTCAGTCGTCAAATGTATTATTGATATTCTACTCACCTTAAGAAAATAAACTCTAAATGCGTAACATAAAAATATCAAGAAAGTAGCAACCCATCTCGCTATAGTGTATGGGGTCCATGCATCCAAACAACCTTGGTATTTCTAAAAATAATGGTGGAAATTCTTGTTTGTTACAAAAACGAAGATCAACATTTGTAGCAAGCTATAATAGCGTTCATTTGTATTTGCTATATTGGTGTCTAAGAGAAGTTCTGAGAATTATTCAGACGGTCAGTCAGCAAGATGGTTCAAACTTTGCAAAACACTTGCCTTTTGTTTTGTAATAGACTTGCAGTGCAATTTGACTAATCTTGTGCGAGGTGTCATTCACTATTTTATGGGGATCGTCAACGTGATGATTTGCTCATCTAGTACGTATTCAATAACTACTAGTATCCTTCATTTCTTGAGTATCTTCATTGCATATGATTCAAAATCAAAATAACCTGTTTGTGTACTCTAGAGAACTCGTATCATTTTTAAAAAAATATTCCAAACTGTGTCTGTGTCAATGAAACGGTGCCATCAAGTCTAGATTGGACAAACACTGAAAAAGTCATCTTGCTAACCGACTGTCCGAATAAATCTCTGAGTGGCTTTAATAAAAATGCACACTACATATATATATACATGTATATATTTATATATACATACTGGATAATTGTACACAGAACTGCCATTTATATTGAGCTTTTTGAGTAGTACCCTCAGATACTTGTAGATTAGCTTCTCGTGCAGATCACATTCTGTGATTTCTCTCATTTTCAGTACATACATGAGCATAACACTACTTACCTGACCAAGTCTGGTAAAAATCCTACTAAAAAAGGATGGTTGTGCCGGACCAGAATCATCCATCTTCCCAGTGTCTTATGAAGTCATGTACAGGAATCCTACCACAAAGAAGAATAGACAAAAAAGACAATAAGAAATACACAAACAGAACTATTAAGTACAGAATGTGTGTTGGTTTTCAGTTTCACTCGTATAATCTACATCATTTATGTAAAATGTTTTACATCAATCACATCTTGTATTAACTCTTTCAAACATATTTTTTTTAATCAAAATTATGGTATAAAATTTAGTTATTTTTTTATAAATAACTTTTCTTTGCCCAAGGGCAATGATCAATTTTTTTTTTTAGAATGTACATGTATGGTGTCAAAAATATCACTTGTTACAAAAAATGGCAAAAATATTCATCAAATTTAGAGAATTAAAAACACTACCACAAATCTCAGAGAGGTCTACTAAATGTACATACATGTATACACCAAGTACACGTATCAAGGCAATCAGACTTGCGGTTTTCAAGAAGTCGAAAATGTAAAAAGTTGACACAGCAACAACGGACAATCAGTAATATGCCTAGCTCTGCTTGACAAAGTCTACAGCATAGCTAATAAATACTCAAAAATGTTGTATAAAAACCGAAATTGTGGAAAAATTTGCCATTTAAGATGTTAAAAATACAGTTCAACAAATATTTTGCAAAAAACATGGCGGTACATTATATAATATATAAACCTCAATGCTAATACTGTAGAATACTTTATTTTCGCTTGGAATTTATCTACGCTATTTTCGCTGAAGGGATGATTCCGTGAAAATAAAATCCAGTGAATATACTTTTTTTCCTACATTTCACATTAAACTCATCAAACATCAGTGAAAATAAAATCTATAAAAAATGCCCAAAAAGCCTTTTCAGCGAAAATTAATTCCAGCGAAAATAAAGTATTCCACAGTAGTAGCATAATAAATGTACAGTATTCTCCCAGGAGCCAACCTCCAGGACTTTAAGAAAACAAATGAATGTATTAACAAGATAACCTATTATTAAAACCTGTGTAAAGAAAGGATGTCAAAGATGCTAGTAGGATAATTAGTTTCCTGACCCATTTTATAATTTCATGTACATACTGTACAATGCTAAACTTTTGCTGTTGCTAGAAACGTTCAAGATTCTATGGCTTTTGGGAAAAATTCTTGGAACTCACTGATACTCTTATGACAACATTTCTTGATTTTCACAGACTCACCAATAATGGAGAAAATTTGTCTCATGAAATTAATACAGTAATCATCAAAGCTTTATGTAAAACTACCCCATATACACTGGTACATTACATATTTATATTGCATAAAATATAAATGTTTGTACAGTGCATATGGAAATGATGCAAATTGCAGATTTCAAGCAAAGTCTGCAATATGACTGTTAGAATCCAGTTTAATTAAGCGTAGTTACATCACGAGAAGCAATCTGCTTAAAGAAAGAAAGCTGTGGTCACTGGGAAACACACCTCTAAATCTGATCAACTACCTATTGGTAAATTGTGTTCAACTTATCAGAACTTGTGCTACAGGCAGTTTTCTAGAACACAATTGTCTATTTTAGTAAGTCTAATTGGTTGGCAGGTAGAGCTTCCACCTACATCATATTTAATACATAACTTGCTGACACTGTTTTTTCTCATTTATTTTGGCTATGCATGGAGGATTTTAAATAAAGTATATTTTCTGACAGAAAAACAAGAATCTACTACTAATACTGTAAAATGACTAATTTTCACTAGGTTTAAATTTCGCTGATTTACCATTTCAGGCATATTCAGTGGGTTTTAAATTCACAGTTATATCATTTAGATAATGTGTTCTATGCTCAATTTTACATATTCACTGGGTTTTAATTTAGCACATTTTCCAGTCAGCGAAATAAGCAAAATTAAAATCCAGTGAATAATTAACCCCTTTACAGTAACTGAGAAGGGTATATTACATCATACATGTACAATCAACATAGCACTTGTACTTCTGTTTGCAGTCTCAATTTGTATCTCTAAAGAAAAAAGATGGGTGGTGGAAATGTTGGTGAGTTCCATAAATAACAGTCAATGGATATACAAAAATGTGCCATATTACTTTAGTTGTAATTTGCTGATAGCAAATAATTGGCTGCTTTTTTGAATAATTTAACAGTTTTCTACAAGCGTCAATACTTGATCGTCACAAAATAATACAGGAGGCAGTGATAGAAATTACATGGATTTTGCAAATTGGTAAATGAAACTTTGTTTAATAGTAAAATTCCCAAAATAACCAAAATAACAAGCATTGCAAATTCAACACATTGCAGACACAATATGAATTCAAATAGTTACTATATCATGTAAACAACACTATTTCCAAACGCCGAATCAAATTCTACTTCAATATTCAAAAGACAAACAGAAGGTCACAGTAGAATACATTTCCACAAAGCCAGTGTTGAAGACAGACGAGTAAAAATATTACTCTTTAATGTATTGTATGCAAATTAAAATAAAATGTACGTACTGTGGAATACTTTATTTTCGCTTAGAATCAATTTTCACTATTTTTGCTGAAGGAATGTTTCAGTGAAAATAAAATCCAGCGAATATACTGATGTTTCTATATTTTACATTTAACTTAACAAAAATCAGTGAAAATAAATTCAATACAAAACACCCCAAAACACTTTTCATTGAAAATTAATTCCAGTTAAAATAAAGTATTTTACAGTACCGGTATATATAATACATGGTATATATTTCTAGATCATATTCACACATCTACATGTACCATCATACACCAGTATTAAATTAAATCACTATGCAGGCATCAGTAAATAATAAGTACTTTCCATAGCCATCTTTAAAATGGTGCAATATAATTCTATTCTATGTAACTAAATTTAACACCGATTTTCACCAGATACGTTTACTTCATATACAATTATACCAAACATGAATCCTTATCCAAGTGTATATTACACTAACATTAATAATTCTAAATGTACAGATTATTATACTTATATTATGAACTATAGTATAACAGTTATAGGTCAAATTGTAAGTGTACTACATGTACTTTGTCGCACAAAGTACAATAAATTTGACATTGATTTATTTTATTGCTACATGCAGCTTAGTAAATAATAGAGCAGAAAATATTAAATCTCGGAAATCAGGAATGAAGATTTTACTGAAAAAAAGAGAAATATATAATTCAACAAAACTGCGTATATAAATTAATCTTTTCGTGAAATGTAAACGATCGAATTTCACGATAACACACATACTGTTTAGATGATCGAATCTTATCTTAGTAGAGACCATTGTCGCCGGTCACGCCATATTTACCTGTAAATTGCAGTGGCTTTTGATTTAGGTCACTAACCCACCCAAACTGAGAATTATTAGCAATATACTGTACATACGAGATCAACATGTACCTGTTAGATGTAAGGCGTTCACGTGTGACTTAAAGCAGGGGGTTTTAAAGCAACGTCAACGTTAGAGCGTGAATATGAGTCACAAATTGCATGAAATCCCCCGTCAGTCATGCAGCTCGCGTATCACTCGCACGGTTAGCTCAAATGCGATCAGGTGTCTCTCGAATCCGGAAGTGGATAGTGAACCCAGGGGCCTGGGAAGCACGCGATAGCAGATACGTGACTTTCAACACGCATACAATGTTCAACTGTCAGAAACCAATTCACCGCGAAATATAATTAAGATAAGCCCATATGTCACCAAAACAAGCGATTTTTCAAAGAGACTTACCGGCGAAGTGCTACAAAGATGGCGGCCACGTTGCACTATCCTCGATCCAAAATATATTAATTTAACGTTCTGTTGTACGCAATTAAGACAATTATTTTAAGATCTCTCGTCAATTTTTATCTAATTAAGTCTATTTAAATGATATATTATTTCATTGCACAATTAATGTAATATATCTCATTGTATATGTAACAACAATTACAACGATAATTTTTACTCGTGGACGAGGAAATATTGCCATGACGTCACCAGCCGGGGTCGCCATCGTTCTTTCCACTTTCTGCCGGCGAGTTTGTCAGTTGCACAAGGTAAACGTTCTGTGATATACATTACGTGAGCGATGTTGTTTGTCGGTATTTATTTGGTAGATAAACGCCACATATAGTGACGTGTATTGTGTGTAGCACAACGGGCAAAGCTATCCCGAATTGTTCACGCACTCAATAAATTCTTACTTCGTCTGCGATCCCCACTAAACATGCAGTCGACGCGACGTGCACGTCCATTTTAGAGGACATTGCCCCCGAAATCACGGTCAGGTCGTTTATCGTCCAAATACTTCGAGTATCTACCATTTTATTTTTTGCTGTATAAGAGTTTAGAATTTGCTATAATTACACCGGCTACTGAAATTACTGAACTCAAAAATATAGAAGTCTGGCTTGAGAACGCAGGCATGACCTTTTCACCTTTTTTTGTTGGTTTGTCACGACTGTCTGCTTCAAGTTTCATATAACGTTAGGAAACTCTTCGTTTTATGTAAACTATTAGCTAGTTTTCTTTAATTTGAGTTTGAACCAGCAGAACATAGTTCGGAATTTCAATAATGCCCCCCCCCCCGATTTGTGATTCTCTAATGCTTTCATTATGCATGTTTAAATGCAATTTTACATGATATACGAGGTACAGAGCAAATATTTTATTTCAAAAGTTTAAAATAGCAAGCAAATTTGCTCATCAGCAGTCTGTCTTTCAGACAAAGTTGGGTATGAACATAAACCACTGCCTTAAAATGAATGAAAATATACCAGACTACCCGTCAGTGGACTTTATGAACTATATCTGATATCACTTTTCACAAAATAGCCAGAGTTAGTCTTAAAACGGTGAGGATGTCTCTTCTTGAGAGCTGATACATGTACTAGAAAATTTTTCTTGTGTGAATGCTACGTGCGGCAGTGTTGCTGCAAATTTGTAATATCTCTTGTGCAATAATTAATTTTACACTGATCAACTGAACATTTATGTTTGGCAAATTAAATTGTTTGCTAGTGATCATTTTTACATTTTGTTGTATCAATGGATTTATGTTAGATTATTTTTAAGTTTCTGTCTGACTTTTCTTTTAAGTTCCATTCGGTTTTAATGGGTTTCACATAGCCTGTTCATTTTTTTGAGAAAATTCACTTCACATTCTTCCGCAAGCCAAATACAAACAAGGTCTATGCCATTGACACTGACATGTATCCAAAAGTTTTAGTTCAAGGCTGAGTCAGCATGAAACCAAAAATGTTATGCTGTCAAATGTTATTAATACTATTGTGGTTGGTCATGTTTTACAATATACAAGTTGTGAATATTAATTACATCCAACTTTATTTTCAGAGTTTTTCATCAACCACCGTTAGATACCATTCCAGAATGTCTGTTACTAAAGTACATGCACGGGAGATTTTTGACAGCCGTGGTAATCCAACAGTTGAAGTAGATCTCCATACAGCAAAAGGTAAAACTTGACCTTTTGGTGCCTAACTTTTGTTGCCTTTCACTAAATAAACTTGCAATATTTTTTGAACTTTTATTTGTACCTGTATTCAAAAAGGAATTTTGTTAATTTGGTACAGAACTAACTAACTAACTAACAAAGAAAGAAAGATGAATACTAATCTTCAAAATGTTGCATCAAAATTTTGGTGGAAAAAATTCAAAAGATTAATTCCACAATTATTATACAGACTGTTATTATACTGGTATAATTATATACAGACTTGTTGAAAATGCTTTAATAAAAAAAATGCAAGCTCCTGACATTAATGGTGCATGACAGCTGCTTGGTCAGAAGTGAGCTACTTTAAAGGTCTTGGGTACTTACTATAGCCTTAGATTCAATACATTTTGACATTTTTAGATGTTTTAAATTTATCACTTGGCCGTTTGCACTAACATGAAACGAATGTGTGGCACTGTGTTCAAATTATAGGCAATGCCATTTTTGTTAAATAAACTAAAACATTAATATAAGTTTTAAAACTAATGAATATAAAATGTATTGTTAGTCTACCCCACTTGCCTGAAGAATGCATGACAATAACTTTACTAAGCTTTTGTCATATTTGTATTGGTTATTGTTTTCTGGCCGTTATTGGCACTCATCCAACCTGTATCTAGGCCATTTGTAATGTAAAGTTAGAATAACCTTAGTGTTCTTAATAAGGTGAGTAAAATGTCAAGCAGTTCACAGGAGTTGCATACTCAAGAGATTTAAATTCTGTTTCAATTTTTTTTTCATTTTCCACTGAAGCCTTTATTACCTTGGTGACCCAACAATTAAACTTACTATGGTAGAATGCCCAGATTAGGGGTAATTTAAATTAGTATGATCTATATTGTGACCAGTGATTTTGTGGGTCAATAAACGAAGATGAACTTGTATCTTCACATGAAGTAGTTGTAATGAAAATTGTCTACTTGATTTTATGGTAGTGAGAAAGGATGATAGTATGCAATCTACTGTTATGAATTAACTGATTTGCATATTTAAATTAATGACTTGGCTATTAAACTGCCCCTATTATACGTCTTGAACTGTATGGTACTTGTACATGTATGTGATTCTCTACAAATGTTTTCAACATATTTTGGTTATACAACATGTTCCTAAAAATGTAATGATAATTGCATATTAATTTAAATAATTTGCATATTGAATAATTCAGCTAGCTGGTCCAAATGCATGATACAAGTTGACTTGTATTTACACAAATGCCTGATTGTCAACAAATATTTAACAAGACTTTGGAATAGAAAGCGCTTCTAAATGTGTATTATAGTCTTAGACTTTCAGTCTTTAGACTTTCTGATTTTATATTGCAATTACCTACATTGCAAATTGTTTTCATTTTGTCAGGTCTGTTCCGTGCTGCTGTACCCAGTGGTGCATCAACTGGCATCTATGAAGCTTTAGAATTGAGAGACAAGGATCCTTCAAGATTTCTTGGAAAAGGTAGGAAGAAGCTTTAAACATGATTCTTGTAATTGACTTTCTAGTTCTGGGTGAGCAAAAAACATGCATGATGTTTGTACAGTTATGAACTTAAGTATGATAAGAAAATGTACATTCCATTTTTTTTTCTCATCATTGCTTATGTTAGTCTTTGCAAGTACCTGCCTGCCACATACGCTAGAATGGGAAAATGTTTTCTTTTCTGTTTGGAAAGATGTTTAGTAGTGACAAATCAATCTTTAATTTATGTATTCGAAAGCAATATTTAATAAGTCTTAAACATTGGAACTTTCATCTTGTTGTGGTATTGAATAATCCTAATAGTGATACCAAAAAAAAAATGCTTCACCAATTTTTCCCTATAACAATTTTTTTGCCCCAGAAACATATGCTTATTGCAAACTAATCAGTTTTGTTATGCTTTTAAAGACAAGGTATCGCATGATCTAATTTTTTTATTCATTATTTGTTTTTCCTTTTGTTGTCAAATGCCATATATTGATTGATGTATGTAATAAAACATGGCTATTCTAAGGGTGAATCTGGAATGTTAATTTTGAACCCACCATCTACTGTAAACAGTTGTGATTTAGCAAATGCCTGGTCACATTTAACGGTGAATCAGTTTAATAGTAATGAATTATTTTCTGTTGCAGGTGTCAGCAAGGCTGTATCCAATGTCAATGATACTATTGCTCCTGAACTTATCAAATCTGTAAGTTGAAATAAAATTTTTTGGTTGCTATGCAACTGAGTACCCATTCATGACAACTGGGGGGAGGTCGGATTGTGTGTGTCTGATAGAATGACAATTGCATATTTTTGTATTTTATGAACATCTCATTAAACTTTCAAGGTAATCTGTCCTAAAATACAGAATTACCGGAAACAAAACTGAAGATAATGTTAAATGTTGTGGTGATTCATATTAGTTTATCCCTGCTTGCTAAACCTGCTTGGCATGATATTTGTGCTAATACAAGTGCTTAGATTCATTAAAAAAATGTTTGTATGCAGGGCTTGAATGTGAAAGACCAAAAAGAAATTGATCAGTTTATGCTGAAGTTGGATGGTACAGAAAACAAGTGTAAGTACATCCATTTCCTAATTGAAAAGCTATACTGATGGCTTCAAACCCAACTGACCATGTGTCTGACAGAATGATATAGATTAACATTTTTGTTGACACCAAAGAAATTGCAGAAGTCCTAATGTGAACACCATACAATACAGTTGGCCATTCACAACATACCATGCCAACTGCCATTGAAAAAGGAACCAAAGCAAGGAGTCCATCTGGCTCCCCATAATTTTCATTCTAGAATATTCTTTGCAAAATCCTATTCTTCTTTATTGTTTGTAATTGTTGCTGTCATTACAGCTACTCTACCTAATTCCTATCTGAATCATTCGCCATCTCTCATCCCACTGTTTAGAATTCCCTCACATTTAGTGATAGAGCTCCCAAAATTGCTAGGAACTTGCCTGGCTCAACAGATTATGAAACCAGCAGTTATGATTACGTGCAAAGTGATTTTAGTTTTTATTTATCGATTTGTTTGAATCAAGAGTCATCATTAATAGTAAATCATTGTGATGTTTAAAAACACTGGGTTAAATTTGTACCTATGCACGTTTTTCTAGCCAAGCTTGGTGCCAATGCTATACTTGGAGTCTCGTTAGCAGTTTGTAAAGCGGGTGCAGCTGAGAAGGGAGTTCCACTTTACCGTCATATTGCTGATTTGGCTGGCAATCCTGAAGTCATTTTACCAGTTCCAGTGAGTACATTCCTAGTTTTATTCAATCAATTAGTGATGTCTTTGTCCATATTTTCTAGTATCCTCATCGTATACTTGTGTGAGCTTTTTATATCAAGTATCATCTTCATGATTTGTTTTCATGGAATGTGTTCAAAACCTGGTATCAAACATTTCTAAATTTGATTTCCATGTATTATAGTAGCTAATTGATATTATAACTTATTTCAGGCCTTCAATGTCATCAATGGTGGAAGCCATGCCGGCAACAAACTTGCCATGCAGGAATTCATGATCCTCCCAACTGGTATGATTTTTTTTCTAATATTTAATATATCACTTTAAGACAGTTTGAGCCAAATTCTAATTTTGCACTGCTGTTAATGCACATTTATGCAATGCATTATAGGCAAGAACCTCCCATTATATATATTGAAAAAACACTTTCACTAGAAACTGACTGAATTGTGTAACTTTTTATGATTAGTATCATTAATACTGTATTTATCTTCAATTAAGCGCCTCCTTCAAATTGGACACGACATTTACTTAGTATTTAAAATAAAGGCTACAGTGTAAGTGTCAAACTGTAATGTAAAACAAGGTATCACCGGAATGGGGCCAAGAACATTGGCTTTGAAATACCGTAAGTGCCATTTGAAAAAAAGTTGCCAAAATTTAACCAGAAATAAGCACCGCTGTAAAATGAAAGTATAACAAAGTGGCGCCTAATTGAAGAAAAATACGGTATGTAAAATGTCACCAAGCAAAGTTTTAAGATACAAATACCATACAAGCCAGTGTAAAAGATGTCAATTTTGACCGTTTTCCACGACACTTTGAAAAATCTTGAAAAATTGTTAAATGGTCCCAATTTTTGTTCACTTTTTTTTTTTAGTATTTTGATAGCATAAACCTGTAAGTGTGAACATGACATATATTCGTAATTGGTTTGAACCTACTGAAGTTTATTTTTTGTTAACATATGCTGCTGAGAATTTATAGCTTTATTGAATTGTTTTTGTTTCTGGTTTTATGAATATTGATATGTGAAGTTCCAATTTAGTCAGCAACTTTTATACGACTTTATCTCGATCTTGACAGTTACAAATTAACATCTGTATTATAGAATTGTGCACTGGTGATTGTGAAAAGTGTTATAAGCAATCAAAACATGCATATGCCCTATCCCTATCCAGTAGGGCTACTGAATTTAAAAAATGGTACCCCTAGGGCAGTGTGCTTTGGTCTAATGCTCGGTCTCTGCTTTGGATTATTTTCTGATAGGTGCTGCTAGTTTCACTGAAGCAATGAGAATGGGAAGCGAAGTATACCAGAATCTTAAGAAGGTTATCAAAGATAAATATGGCCTTGATGGTGAGTTAAGACATTTGCAACATGTGTGATTTTTAGGTATATTCTATTCAAGCTCCTTAAGTGCTCTTACTAAAGTTTTTTACCCCCTTCCCCCCAGTCTTAAAGTCAAAATAAAGTGCATGCGTTCTTGGCCTTGTTAAAGAATATACAATATATGTACTGATTAAATAAAAAAAAATGATGTAAATGCTGTTGATCTTGAAATGATCAGAAGCATGTGGAGGCTTACACAAATTTATATAACCAGCATGTACATGTATGAGTGCAAGGAAGATGAATCTACAAGTAAATTTGCAAAAATTTTTACTTATTGTTGCTATAGTAACAATGTTTTAGTAAATCCATCAAAAGATAACCTATACAATGTATGAACAGCACGTTTTTTTTTTATATCTAAGATGTTTTGTTCACTTTCATTGAAAATTTTTTCTTTTCAGCAACTGCTGTTGGTGATGAAGGTGGATTTGCTCCAAATATTCTTGACAACAAAGAAGGTACATGTCCAGATAAATAAACAGTTTACTGATCCTTCCCAAATTTGTTTTATCAGGGAGAATAGGATTATATGATGCATATAGAAAGTGTCCTTGTTTTGATGATCTTATGATCAGGCGACATACTGTACACATGTTCCTATCACATCTAATTGTCACTAGACTACACTAATGTAGTGTTCCATCAATTCTGTTTTGCCATGAATTTATTGTTTTAGGTACCTTGTTCTTATTATCAGTCTCTGTTTAGAAGTCTCTGCATCATCGTCTTCATAGCTGTCAAATCTGTTTTATCTTGCAGCTCTTGAATTGCTAAAACTTGCCATTGAAAAATCAGGCTACACAGGCAAGATTAAGATTGGTATGGATGTTGCAGCCTCAGAGTTCTTCAAAGACGGCAAATACGATTTGGATTTCAAGAATAAGAATTCTGACGCCAATAAATATGTGAGCAATTTGTCCATCTTTTTTCCCGCATATAATATAGTACATGAGGCTTCTGCAAATCAATCTACAATGGCAAATTACTTTCAGATTTGGTTCCAATGAATTACTGTTGCAACTGGCTACTAGTACTAATTGTTAACAATTCTATGAAATGTTAGTCATTTCAAGATGTGCAGTCACTAATACAATAATCTGTGTTTACAGTTACAACAGCATTGTTAGTCCT